ATATATATTAGATCTGTGAAAACTATCTGTTACGTTGTTAAAAAAATCAAGCTGCTTTTGTTGGAGCCAAAGTTCAAAATTTATGTCACAGCCATCTCTCATAGATGAAGTAATCAACTAGATGACAAATTAATTTCTGGGTATTTGTGCTTCATATGATCAGTTTAGATTGTCATTATTTCAACCCACTGTCTATATAAAATAAAATTTAAAAGATACATATATTACAGGATGTTTCTGTCAGGAAGGGAAGACACAAGTTGAGTGGTTGAAACCAAGATTGCAGCTGAGTCAGCACTGAGAGAGCTGGTGTCCTCATTATTAAAGTTTTTAGTACAATAAAACATGTTTTTCTCTTTCTCTTTCCTTTTTAAAGGCTTGAATCTCTTCATAACAGTCTTTATTACTGAGCCCCAAAATGGAGAGTGAAGTAACCCCACCTGGAATCATGTTATCTCCCTCTTCTCAAATTTCAACCAGTCAGTCCAGTGAGTCTGTGAAACCAAGACAAAACAAAAAGTCCACCTCCACTACTCCTGCTTTTCTCTCCAACCTGGGGAGGGCCACGCTTAGGGGCATCCGGAGGTGTCCTCAGTGTGGCGTCTACAACGGCACCCGAGGGCTCAGCTGTAAGAACAGGGCCTGTGGCGTGTCCCTCAGAAACCCCTCGTCGACAGGTAGAAGCAGTAAGAAATGTGCGGTGGAGGTGGTGAAGCTGATAACAGACAGCGAGGGTGTGTGTGAGAAGGAGCAGGAGGGAAGGGAGGTCCTGGATGGTGGCTCGGGCGGAGGAGCTCAGGTGTTTTCTGTGTGTCACAGAGGAAGACCGGTCACAGCTACACAGTGGGGCTTCGTTGAGCTGGTTCCCACAGACACTGCCATAGCGACTGGGGATGGGGCCACCCTGCTCACTCGGATCAACCTCGGGCGCTGCTTTTTACCCGCTTGCAGGCAGGGTCAGAGGTCAACTCAGTCGGACTCAGCCACGGCCAAGCCATCGTCTGACAGCCTCTGCATCCACATCAAACAAGCTATAGAGTGTCGGAGCTGTGCAACGCCTCTGACCTTTAAAAGCTCCGTGTTGGAGGGTTTAAAGGTTTCCCTTCAAGCCAGAGAGGAGCTGTGGAAGCTGGCCACCCAGTCCCCCGGGCCCCTCGTGCAGCGTGTTTCCAATGACACCCTGGTGGTGAAGTGCCACACAGACTCCCATCATCCTCTGGGCCTGCTGCATCTTACTGTCGGTGCAGCTGGACTGTCGGAGACTCAGAAGAGTGAGCCGAGTGCGTTCCACTGTTCCTGCCAGATTAACGCAAAAAGAAACAAACCTGGTGGGGATGGTGCAGGTGGACCCGTCGGTTCTATTTCTCCAAGTTCTGGCTCGTCCCAGCCTTGCCTTCACTTCTACGCCTGTGTGTGCGCCTTCACAAGCAACGAGAAGCTGGCTTCAGAGTTCGCAGCTTTCATTAACTACACTTCCAGCGGTACAGTAACCAGTTTGGTTGTATTTTTAAATGCATTTTAAGATCCAGACTGCAAGGGATCTGCATCGGATCCTATTAGAGCTGAGGTGTATAAAACCAAAAGCATTGGACCTCATGCAAGAACATGTTCGTATTCTTAGCCTAAATTTCTCTTACTTTTGTTCGTACAAAGGGTTCGTACGAACATGTCACGTCAGATTCAACAAACTCTTCTATCTTCAGGAAAAGTGTGTAAATG